CCTCCAGACTGAGGAAAGTTGCAAGAACCCCAAAAGTGAGTCCAGGAGGAACTCACAAGGACAAAGACGGACACGGTGGGAGCAAGAAGCGACGCCGCCCAAACACAAAGAACAGGAGAAATCCAACAGAAATCACAAACCGACGGGCCGGCAGAAGTCCAAGGCCCCACCCTAAGTCCTCAACATTGCTTCGAATGCTTTGCTGGTGGCGTCTCGCCACTGGGCTCACGTGTCCTGGTGTTGGCCAGGATCTGTCTGAGTGCGTCTTGGATCGAACCCAATTTGCCATCTACTTTGGTTTCGAAAGTCGCTTGGTGCGCTTCGATCTTCTCAAATCTCTCTTCTAGCCTCTGCAGTCTTGCTTCATCAGACTTGGCGGACTTACCTTTCTGCGAACCTTTTCCTCCCCCTTGGCCTGCTTAGGAGGTGCATGCTCAATCTCTTGGATAAGGATGTCAACAACATCAGCATTAATCTGAACAGAAAAGGAAGACACGGTCGGCTTCTTGTCGGTGGTGACAATCCAAATGTGGACACCTGCTGTTCGAAAAGTCCTCAAAGGGAGCACTGGAAGCTTAAGAGCTTGCATCGTTGAGGATACAACGTGTTGTGCCCCGTAGCTGCGGGCCATCCAGCGAAGGAGAAAGTGTACCTCGGGACAACGTCGATGTTGTCGGACGTGACCCTTGGGTCGTCAGCAAGAAGCTGAGCTCTGGCCTTCCCAATCTGAGCGACCCAGACTCGTGGTGCGATTCCTCTTCTGGTGAGAACGAGCCCTGCAAGGCCTTCGGTGCCCTGAACTGTTTTGCGAATATTGCCAAGTTCGGGCATTGTTGGAGGCCAGAATCTCGGGAGAACGGACAGGTCTTCACTGTTGCGTCCTTTCTCCTGAAAGTCTCTCGAGAACAAAGGTGTGAGTCCGCTGGCATCAATCAAAGGGGTCCTGACTGCACGCGGGGCTTTCAAAATGCACTGCAATAGTGGATCTTGCTTGCTGCCTCCAGGATGAGTGGCAATTCTGTAGCCAAAAATGACGGCAGAGCTGTCAAGCTTGGGGACAACTTCTCCAAGCAGGATTTTAAAGGAGGCGATCGGGTTCTCCTTGTACTTGTCAAGGTCGGATTTGGAGATGAGCCTTCCGTCAATCTCCAGTACAATCTCACAGACAGCACCAGTCGTGAGTTTGGAAGTTTGGCAACGGGATTGGGCAGCTTGAAGTTGATGGAGCCCCGGATCACATACATCCTCACCAGTCTTTTGTAAGCAATCTTTGCGGAGTTGTCTTCAACAGAGACCTCAAAAGGGCCTGTGAGCTTGCCTTGCAAAACGAACTGAGGCAATGTGTCACTGGCAGGAAGGAGCACCGCAAGGTCAATGGAACCAGCTGCCTTCACAATGTCCTGGATGTGCGCTTTCGTGGCTAGCACGATGCCACCTCTGGCTCCCCCAATTTGCAAGCGATGATTTTGCGAGAGAAGCGCTCCATCAGATCCGGTGAAAGGCACAGGATCCTTGAGGATGAGATCCTCCCATTTGCATTGGGCTGGACGCGGGAGCGATTTCAGCCAAGGATCATTCTTGAGCCAAGGGTCTTTTCCATCAGCAGAAGTGGTGGCGGAGGACTTGGAGGAGTCCTTGGCGGGCTGCGGTTGGGCAGGCTTCATAGTAACATCTTCCTGGTTGGTCACACCACCAGAGATCGTGTCTGCTGGAAATCTGTTTTCGGCAATCCGGACCAGAAACCATTGTCGAATATTGGAGGCAAACTCGATGAGGTGCGGATTGGCGCCAGCTTCATTCCACATAGCAAGCGCATCATGCTGTGCTCCGTGTAGATCAGCGGCGAGACGATGAAAGCTCAGCTGACGCCGCTGAGGAGGCTGAAGTGGAACCGAATTTGCAGCAAGTCGCAAGTAGAGGTTGGCTACAAGCTGGTACCCTCACATACCATCTGGGCTGACCTGATCATAGAAGTGGATGGAGATCTGCGTGCTCCGAGCTCCTGTGACATTGAGAAGATGATCAACAGCGGAGCGACAAGGTTGAGATGATGTCCACCTGCTTTGGTAGGTGTCGCATGGCACAAGTCAATAATGTCACCATCCTTGAGCTGGAGCTGACCAGGGGCAATCCGCAGTCCATTGACATCGCTGATCCGCAGTTGCTGTTCAGCACCGGGGAGCTGGAAGTAACAATTGATCAATCTTGGCGGAAGCTGAAATCCGGCGATGGGAGTGCGTCCAAGTCCGAGGATCACATCAACATGCACCGGGAGGTCACAATTACCAGGTCCAGATACAATCAGAGTGAAAGCTTTCTCACCAGGGATATTGGACACACGCTTGTTTCTCATCCGAAGGTCAGCCAAATCCGAGACCAACTGGAGCAGTCTTTGACAGTTGCCACATGATAAATAAGCAGTGAGGTTGAGGTCCTCCAGTAGGACAATAATCGTAGCCGCAAAGTCTATGGGAGCAAAGTCGTCTTGCAGTGTTTCGACGATCTGCTGAATTGTCCAAAACAGAGTCGATCCACAATGCGACCGGAAGTCAATCTGCGGCAGAACAAATCGGTCGTCCTGCTCGAGGTCATAGGCTTAGTCGGGTCAAGGCGAAAGCGAGGGTGCAAGTCACAAACGCCAAGGGTGGCAAATCCAGCGACCAAACGGAGCGACGGCTCTTGGCACGCAATCTGCTCTATTGTGGACTCGTTGTTGACACGAATATCAGGATTGAGACCACACAGTTGCTGAATGATCGAGGCAGGACCTGACAGGTTCTCCTGGAAGACTTGTTGCAAAGTCTGAGATGGCCGTGCACGGAACGCGAACTCTCTGTCGGCACAAGTACCTGAGATGAGCCATGTTTGGCCAGTATCTTCAGAGACATTTGCCCGAATGGAAATCCACTCCCAAAAGGCTTTGCAATTGATCAAATGAACGAGGCCGTCGAGGTCAAACAAGATAGCATTGTAGGCCGACAAACGGTCTGCCCAGGCTTGGCGAACCATGCCGATTGGGTCAATCTTGCATTCACTGGTTGCACGGAAAACGATGCCCAAAGCGAGCAGGCTGTGTGGGACCGTGATTGCGTTGCCAATGAAATGGAAAGATTCACTCACCTTTTCGGAAAGAACAACATGCTCCGTTGCTCCAAACAGCAAACAAAACATGGCAGGATCGAAAAAGTGGAACCCTGAGGCAAGTTCCTGCACACATGCAAATATGCCCTTTTGTTCAAGGTGGTATCTAGCAAGTTCATGCTGTCGTGTATAAGAGGCACAAAGCGTGGGCAGCACAAGCAGATGTTGGCACCCGTGACCGAATGATGGTCAAGGTCTTGTTGGTCTTGTTCTCGAACCTGGCACGCTTGGCGGGCGGGAGGAATTCCACAGAATCGTACACTTGACACTCGGAAGGTGAGAGCTTCAGTTGCGAAATCCACTTGCTCGGGAGTGTGAACTGAAATGCCTGGTCTGTCCAATGAGAACTCGGAATCTTCGGCAGCTTGAGCTGGAAAGGGAAAGTTTGACAAGATCGGCACGACTCCAAACACCTAACCATCTAGTCCTAGCATGCGAAGCCATGGTCTGAAACGGAGTGACCTGGTCCCAAACAAGGCGGTACCCCAAAACCCGGGCAAAGGCCTTGATCACATTAAAATGTGGGTGGCTAACGATATCGTCAGCACACTCCGCAGCAATCGCTACCGCTTGCAGGTGAAAGGACAACTCGAGGGCTTCTAAGAAAGCCTTGCCGTTGCAGTCATTGAGACCAGCTGTCAATCCCCCTTTGCTCCAGGATTGGCACGGTGGAGACATCGAAACCAGAAAATTTGCCTGTGTACGACAGGCCTCAACAATGGTGGAGTCACAAACCTTACCGCAAAGGCCAACGTTCTTGCAGTGGCTCCAAGTGGTTCCCATTGGCAATGGCAGCATCTTGAAGGTGGCGTTGTACTTAACCTGCCAAATTGCAATGACCTCAGGGTCATGGTCGACAAACAGCTCCTGTCCGACACAGAATTGTTTGGCTTGATTGTCCATCCATTGTAAACCCTGGCGCCAGCCACAAAAAGCGCCGCAAAAGAGGTGCATGGTGTCCCGCGGCATCGATGGAATCAACTCGTCGAAAGGCGATTCGAGCTTCCCGCAAGGCAACGGTGTCATCATCCCTGAGAGCACGGACACCGGAGCAGATGACCTGAATCCCCTTACAGAGGTGTAAGCACCTGTTGCCAACATCGGGAAAGGCAACAGTGACCTTCGCTTGCTCTTCGCTCGCTACGAATCCCGCAGAAGGGGTGAACCATAGGGCCCAGAGGTCAATCCAATCATCGCCGAAAGTGAGCACCTCACCAATGACATAAGTCCTGGCCCCAACAACGGGCGTCAGGCCAGCACCCAGTCCCGAGAAGAGCCCTCGGATGCGAGTGTCCTGCAGATTTGGGATGACGTCCGCCAAGTTGGGCTCCAACAAATCCATGGCACAAATCCTCGATCGATGCAGGAGGAACACCTAAACCCACGGAGCGGCTGCACCCTGATTGTCAGGGGCTAGTGGACACCACCCCTTCTCCTCGCGGAGAAGCAAGTGGCCGCTGGCGGCCGGTTGCCTAAGCCTTCAGGCTTTGGGCCCAGTGGCTCCATACTACTAGTAACAAGAAGCGGCTAGTAACAGGGCATCGCTACTAGGAGCAAGAAGCTACTAGTAGCTCCTGGCCATACCACTAGTATCAAGAAGCTACTAGTGACAAGGGCATCCCTACCCCAGCAAGAAACTACTATATAGCAGCTCTTGGCCATAAGAAGCTACCAGTAACAAGGTCATCGCTCTAGGAGCAAGAAGCTACTAGTAGCTCCTGGCGATACCATTAGCAACAAGAAAAGCAAGGGCAGTACTGCATTGCTACTAGTAGCAACTTCTCCGATGCCCCTGGATGCGCTCATCAAAACTCCCCAAAACCCGCCCCTTTTTCGTGGGCCAGTTCGTCTTCTAATGCCTTGTGGGCTTCCAAGAGGGCTTGGGCAGCTGCAGCTAGGCGGACCATTTCATCCAGGACCTTAGGTGTTTCCTGCAACGAACACACCCCAAACGTTCGTCGGAACAACACTTTGTCATCTTTCTCGGTTGGGCGATTCGAATCGTTTGAACAAGGGACCTTCTGCATCCGCAATTGTAAAGAATGGCATGATTCTTCGCTGGCCATGTAGATTCCTCAGGAAGAAGAGAGAATCGACAATTGTACCCGCATAGACCCCAAACAGCGTCAGCATTTTTTTGGCGTCGGTGGAACGCACGCAAGGATACTTTTCTATCGCCTCCAGTTGTTTGTTAACTGCACCTAAACAAAAAAGGTTTGAAAACTCCAGTTCCTGATGCCTGTGTCACATGTGCAAAAACGATGGGATACCGGATGTGTGTCATGAGAAGATCCGATGGTGATACCACATTTCAATCGCAGTATCACTGCTGCATTCATAGCCACATGAAAGCATACCCAGACAAGGGGGTGGAGATAGGAAAAACGGCGTGGCCAAGCAGGGGACAAGGCCCGGATAAGGCGGCGATAAAGGGCCCACAATGTGGACAGGCAGGCCTGGACAAAGTACAAATAAAAAGGAGGACACGGGGTTTAGGCACGAGGACAGCAGGAGGACACCACAACGACCCACAGCAAGCATGGCCACTAGAAGCAGGAGGAGGACAGTGTTTGCCAGCGCGGCCAGAGGACGGGCAGCAGGAGAACAACTGGAGGACAAGAGAGAAGAAGAGGACAAGAGGAGGACAAGAGAAGGACAAGATGACGAGAGGAGGAAGAGAAGGACAGAAGTACAAAAGGAGGACACAGGGTTGGCCAGCGCAGCCAGAGGACAACAGCCTGCAGGACGAGAGGAGGACAAGACCCGGACACAAAGGCCGGACACAGAGTTCAGGGGCGGGGCCAGCCAGCGTGGCCAGCTCCATTTTTCCTAAGGGAGAACCCCAGCAGTAAACTGTTTTTTCCTCTTCAAGTTGCACAATCGCAGGCCCGAACTAATGCCTGACCACAGTGAGACACTAACCGGCAAACTACGAGCGAAATGAGCAAGCGAAAAGGGCATAGGGACAGGGCATGCACGAACCTAAATGCTGAAACAGCCTCTAAGAGGGTGCTGCATGAGCAACACGAACTGCGTCCGCACAAAGCGGTCAATTAATCCGGGAAAGTACTGCGAAGTGGTCCCTTAGCGGGAAGCTGTGCAAGAAAAGCCTGGAAGGCAGAAACTGCAGCGTGCTCAAAGACACACCTGGCCCCTATGCCAGAAGCACGAAAGCAAGCACCAAGACCCCCAGAGGGATCGCGAGAAGGTCACGCGTTCAGCCGGGAACACGGACGATCCCAGGTTCCTCTCAAAGGTCCTAACCGTGTGTGCTAACAGTAAACTGGTTGAGGAAAATATGAACAAGGGTGGAGGCAAGGTACTCTATGGCCTTGAGCCCCCGCAGGAAGGGAAGTGCACCATCCAATCCAAGGCTACTGTTCTTGCAGGTCTAGCGCAGGAACGACAGTTTAGCATCCAAGAAGCTTACCCTGGCACTTTTCGGCGACGTGCAGAGCTGCTTCTTATGCTCATTCTGGCTAATCTGCAGCACAGGAACAAAGCCTCTCAAGAGGGTCACGGATTCACTTTGAGCAAAACATCCAACCTACGAGACGACACCCTAGCCTGAAAGACGACCGGTCTTTGCCGACTTGCCCTTGATGTTGAGACCTTTGCCTGTACCATCTCCGTTCATCATCTTTTGAATCGCGTCAACCTAAGCCCAACTTTGGATTGCGGCTAGGGCAAAACAAAACGGATATTCCCACAAAAAGCTAACATTCACTGGAACAGGTCTGAGCATCCAACGCTGGTGGGCCGAAAAACGGCGAACCAGTGAGTCCGGTTCTCATTCACATGCAGGTTTCTTTGTCTCAAACATCCTGCAGGGCCTCGATCGTCACCACTCTCCAAAAAATCCTCGGAGCTGGAGCGACTCTAAAGAGCAGGCATTACCAGGCTAAGACTTTTCCAACCCTTTTGAAGGATGCCTCTAGATGCCTCTAGCCTCTAGCAGCTAGCAATCTCCAGGAATGTGCTGGTCATTCGGAGCAAAATCGCTGTCGCAGGGCTGTGACGAGATGCAAATCTGCCTCTTGCACCAAAATTTGTTGCAGCAATCAACCCAAGCAGTCAAATCAGCAGCACCGATCACCACTGATGTAAAAAATCTGCCAACCGAGCCGCTGCTAGCTGAAACCTGGGATCCCGTGGGCTGTGGGCTGGCGTCTCGAAGAGGTCAGTGACAGCAGCCGGATATCTCTCAGGTCGACGTCCATCTTGGCACAGCACGAAGAGACCGGTCCCAATTCACCAGTGTCCAATGAACCCCGTATCGAATAAACAGTCGTGATGAATCGTGCAACCGATATCAACTGATCATGTCTTCTCATCCCCAAGTCGATGTTGATCCATTTTCAGCTGGATTTTGGTCAATGGGCTGGAGAAAGGACAGGTGAAAACGGAGCAATGTCCAACTGCTGGTGCTTTTGCGCAAAACAACTGCTCTGGTCAGTGAATTCTACCCTAATCGAATCAAACCTATGTCTTCCTCGCACATGTATGATGTTGGGATTTGGTCTGTTGGAACCGCGCTTCAATAAAGTCAAAAACATTGATGCTGAGAAAGCTACTCCAATCCGCATCGCGCTTCAACCTTGGATTCACACAGCTTGAGAAACCTTTTAGTCCACCCTTAGTGACCCTCCCTAGAGCTGCTGGAGTCCCTGCATTTCTGTGCCTATCTGATGAATAATGCACGCCACCTGCCAGTGTGTACCACTATATGCATGGATTCTCAAACACCAACCGCAGCCAGGGCAACTGCGCCAAGTCAGAGGAGCAACAGCTCTCGCAGCTCTCAGCATTGCCCATAGGAGCGCACCACAGAAAAGTTTCACGTTGGTCCTATTGGCTTGGGAACTCCTGACCTTGCAAAATCCCATCCAAGAAAGCTTTCCGTGAAGCAAGGAAAGCTGATCTGCTGAACCTGGTGTGAAGCGTTTGGGCTCAGACTAACCAAGGATCAGGATCAGGAGCCAAAAGCCACAGCTGTCGTGGCAAGGATCTGCACCAAAAATAGAAACAGATCGTCCCATCCCTCAAGCATCTCCTAGGCTCACAACTTCAGATTTCTCGTGCGCGAACTGAGAGTTCACTTCATGATCCCTCAAACTGTTGCCTCAATCGGCTCCTTTCAGGAGACCGTTTGCTCGCCTGGCTCTTTCGGCGCAAGCGTGGCCACCCTTTCAGGGAGCCCCGCAAGCCGAGTTCCAGGGTTGGGCCACAAACTAGAACCACCAACAAATGCCGGATGATTTGACAGTTAACTCACGAAAGTGCACCTCACAAAGGAATTGCCCTATCTCGCAAATCTCCCTGCCCTACCCTGGCAGCTCAAACCACTCACTTCCCGGCCCGTCGAAAACCTGCACGTAGCCTCAACGATGCAGACTCAAGCTTCATAAGCCGGTGAGCTGAGCTATGACATGACTCAACGAAACCAGGAGCTCCTAGTAATTAGCGTCCTTGCTCCTACTAGCGATGCCAGGAGCCCCTAGTAGCTACTTGCTCCGAGCAGTACGGCCAGGAGCCCCTAGTAGAAGTGGGTCCATAGTAGAAAATCACTCACCGCCCGTCTTCGAGTGCGAGCCCTTCATGTTTGCGCCCTGCCTCTCACGGAGAAAAGGGTCCGACGGCCGCCCCACCAGCCTTGAGCGCCCTGAGCATCGCCGCATGGATGAATGAAAACTCGACTTCGATGCATAAAAAAGTAATATATATATATACATATTAATATATTTGTGTTTATTTATTTATTTAATGTGTGTGTGGTGTGAATAGGTATATATGTTTTGAGCGGAAAATGCAATTTGCTTCCCAACACACTGGGGCAACTGTGTCGCGTGTGCCTCTACCAACTGAGGTTTCATGCTTGATTCGTCTTCTTGCAACTGCCACTGTTTTGGACATGCCTGGACCCTCCAGGAGTGCCCGAGTGAGAGGACCCCGGCCGATCTGGGCTCTTCCTGCACCAAAAGCAGATTAGTAGCCCGTCTCCAAAACGTTATCCACGGGCTTGAAAAAGGGGGAGAAAGAGGAAAAAAAGAAACGTCCACTGGGGTCTCCCGAGTCTCATGCACACCTTGCACACCTCACGAGCAAGGTATGGAACAAGTGTCTTGCAACCAACTCTGGGAGTGCGGTCCTTAAGGCCGGGCAACTCTGGGAGCGCTCCACCGTCTCCTTCCCCATTCCAGTCTGTTTGAGCTTGGCCTCCCCTGCCTTCGCAGCATTCACACCTCACATGGTGCATAACATCGTGGAGGGATCCAGCACTCCTACGCCGCAAACTTGCATCTCATTGCATCTCATTGCCCTCACGTGAGGGCAATGCAGCTAGGGTGCGCTTGCAAGTATTGTCGATCTCAAGAGCCACCGACTTGCACCGTACGTCCTATGGTCAAATTGAGCACCAACATCTGGGAAGGCAAAGAAATGGGTCAACGGGCCTCTGCCACCTTGTCGCGAAGTCTGCAGAGCTTGTTCAACAGCTCTCTATCAGCCTCAAGCTTCTCCTGAAACTCATCAACCGAACAAATGCCCTCACTCTTTCTTTCTTTCTTTCTGTCTGTCTGTCTGTCGGTCGTTCGTTCGTTCGTTCGTTCTTTCTTTATGTCTTTCTTTCTTCTTTATTTCTTTCTTTCTTTTATATATTTCTTTATTTCGTTCTTTCTTTCTTTCTTCCTCCCTCCCTTCCCTTCCCTTCCCTTCCCTTCCCTTCTCTTCTCTTCTCTTCTCTTTTCTTTCTTCTCTTCTCCTTCCCTCCACTCCCTCGCCTTTTTGGTCGTATCAGTTGGGGAGAGCTTCCGGAAGGAACTGTCCAGCTCACGCTCACCCTTCAAGCAGGAGGATCTCAAGTCCCGCAGCTGTGTCTCTAGCTCCGACTTCCTCGCGGAAAATCAATGATGCTGACGGAGGATGCAAAACCGGAACAATGCGAATGCGAGATGTTAGTACAGGAAACCTAGGAAGGGTGAGGTCTTGAAAGCACTTGACATTCCCGTTGATGCACCGCCCACACCTCCCTGAACAGTGCGAAATGCATGGAACCCCCTCGTTTCAACTTCCAGCACTTGTACAGGACTCACATGGCTCTTTCGCAGAATCACTGTGGTCCTCTCAGACAGCTGCTCCACCCGCTTCGTCAAACTAGCCTCTGCCCGAGCTTTGGCCTAAGTCTTGGGACAGTGGATCTGAGCAGGGGCCAGTCGGCCACTAGCTGATTCTATCGAATGCTATCTTGCAGGTCACTGGGCTCGCAGCAAGCTCCTCAGCTGACACAAGACTCTCACCGTCTTATTGGAGTTCGCTTCAGCAAGAATCTAACTGTTTCACCCGTACCTGGGTCGCTTTTCCTAAAAGCGTTGGTCGAACAAGGGCGACAAAATGATCAACAAATGGTTGGACATGATGTTTCAGTTCGGTGCCAGGTCTATTTGATGTGGCAAGTCTCTCTGCGAGTGCTGAACTGCCGTACGGTCTCCAGCGTCTGCTTCCGATGGTTCCAAGCCCTCTCAAGGAGTTCAGACGTCTCCGCGAGCACTTGTTTGGACTCCTGGCCGGGCGCATTCGCTGTCATCGCTGTCATCCGCCAGGACTCATGATCTATTGTGTCATCACCAGTTGGACTTCAGCCAGCCTCTTTCAGCTCAGAAATCTGCTTGTACTCTCTTGGGCCGCTGTCTTGATCACCACGGTTCGACTTGGTGGGGCTCCCGTCGGGCGGCCGTTTGGGGGGCATTGCGACCTTCTGATTCAAAGAGCCTCAGTGAGGGCGGGGCCACAAGCAGCGTTGAACAAAGCAGTTCTGGACAGCCTCTAGAGCTTTATCAGGGATGGTGACAATTGGTCGATCCGGCAACAGGCTTTGTCAAGGTCCCCCAGCCCTTAAAGCCCTAATTGTCACTGCCCCTCGTTGAACTCAACTGCCCAGCTTTGCACTCCTAGGTCTGACATGGTGACTGAAGCCTGCAGCCTGAGAGCTGATATCATGAAGCATGTTCACCCTTCTCTCACCGGAGTTCCGCGTCAGCAATGCTCTCTTCTCAGCCATTTGGTTGATCAGCTCCTTGCCTCAAGTTGGAGGAAAAAAAAGCAACTGTGATGCACAGTGCAGTGAACCGAAATTCTAGAGTATCATGTAGAAAGGGTCAAATACTGGGAAGAGAAGTCTCTTCTGCCTTCTTCTTCCATGTTCAGGAGCACTTCCTTGGAAAGCAACATCTCGGTCACAGCAAATGTCTAAAAGCCCAGTAGCAAATGTCAGATGTTTCTGCTTCTATCAAGTTATGCGCAGCCAAGCTCAGGTCCCGCTGGCTCAGCAAAGTGCTCTTCTCCGCATCAAGTGCTTCATCAAGAATGTCCTGACGCAGCCACGATCTCAACAGCCAACTCTGGAACTTTTGGCACTGCTAAAGGTCCCTGAAGAGCTCCGGCTGCGGCCGCCCACAACGCAACCTGGGAGATCGCAAATGCAATGCAATACCAAAAGCTCAAGCACAGCATCCTGTTCGGCCCAATCTCTCTTCGAATTTAGGCAGGGGCTCTTGGCGTACTTCACAAATCTGAATGTTGGCTGTGCCCTTGTAGCGTTCATGGGTGAGCTGCGTAATGCTATCGACCGCCTTCTTGGAAGCGCGAGCCAAGTCCTCAATACCTCATCCACCCGAGCCCGGAGTTTCTACAGGTGAAGCCGGCTAAAGCCAATCGAACATAGTGGAACACACTGGCAAAACCTATTGATTGACACCTCATGCTCCTGCTCTACTTATAGATACTGCATACTTATAAAAAACCGTTCACCTGCCCAGTGCCATGTTGAAAGAGGCTCCACAAAAGTTCAGCACGCAACCGCATTGGATTTCAGGACAATTCTGGTTTCGCCCAAGCCACAGTCATAAGACGCATCGATAACATTCTGGTGTCGTCGCGCTCGCCGGTAGACCCTCTCTTTTTTCTGTTTCTGCTCTCCTTGGATCCCAGCCGCGAAGAAGAGGATGTTAGCTACACTGTTTTTCGGAGGGGCATCTGTTTGCCCCAAACCCGGACACAAACCTTCGAATTGGCCAAGCATCGAACTACTTGGTCCAAGCCAGCATCGGGATTCATCTGCTCTTCAAGCCTATTCTGACCTGGCCGGAGAAGCAACGCCGTGCGAGACCATTTTTTGCCACGCTGTGGCTCCGCTAAGGGCCCGAAAGGGTCGCGGCTTGGGCCCGGGCGCAAACTCATAAAGAGGTCCCGGGTCAAAGATTTGGCCCGGTTCATCCTCTTCTCCGAGATGTTCCTTGGCACCGCAAAATCTATTGTTTTTGTTGCCCGCTACCACCCCCCCTTGTTTAAGGTTTCAGCGCTCTTCTCACACCTGCTGGTAGGCTCTCTCGTGTTGGTGGACCAGCCACTTCAACACACAACTTCTGTAGCCCACTTTCCCCGCTTTCCGGCATCACCATAGCTTGGGCCAGGCACACTCTGGGATCCTTGCTTGTTTCCAGGCGATTGCTTGCAACAAGATGTCATTGAAGTGTTTGCAGATCTGATTCACGCGGCTCTGTGACTCTTTGCTCATGGTTTTGGTGTAGGTTGCAAAGGTCACCTCCCGCAAGTACACTTCAAGGACACGAGTCGACAACCATCGGCCCTTGCGCCTCACAAATTCTGCGTCTTCTGTAGTCTGCAGCCAGTATGTGGTTCCTCCCGGACGGAGGCTAGCCAAAGAGAAAGGTGGGGCATCTCCTTTCTTGCCTCCGTCCAGGCCAAGTGCTGCTTGTAGAATACTGAACTTCTTCCGTAAGGCCGACTCCACAAAGGCTCCGACGGGAGCAAATGAAAGAACACTGCATCACTGCATCAAGCAATGCAACAACGTCCTCGGGGTCAATCCTGGAGGACTGATGTCTCGCAGCTCGACCACGCGTCTTAGGCAAACGGATCTTCAGCAGCGCGAACCAAACACCTGGCGCAGCGTCCCTTGGAAGGATCAAATCCTCTCTCCTTGCGGAGAAAATCTCTCCAATACGAAGGACGCCTGCCCAACCCATGGAAAACAAAGCTGCTTCTCTGCTCCAAACCCAAAGCAATGCAAGTCCAACAAGGGCGACCAGAACTGATTGGGGTATGGCTTTGTTGTGTTCGTGGGGCTCATCAACTATCCAATTGAATGCCAAGTCCCAACAAGCGGCTACGTTTCTGCGGAGGGTCGGTCGTCTCGCCGTAATGGCGTTGATGGTCTCAGCGTATCTGCTGTATGCTTTTCCACTCTCGTATAAGGCCTTGCCATAGGCCACCAGGGCCTCGGAAATAAATTTTGAATCCAAACAAGCCGGGGCCAGAATTTCCTCGAGGGCGGTCCTCATGTTCTCACTCAACCACCTGTCGAAAGCGATCAGCAGGTGGTCCCTTCGGTTCCTCGTGCTTTGCAGCACGACCCTGTTAGCCTGAAGCACGTTTCCAGCACGACGTTCAGCACGTAAGGCCTCATCTTTATTTGCAGGGTGCATTGGCATGGCACGAACCGGAAGTGAGCGGAACGCGGCCCAAATCGCTATTACATGACAGTGGGAGGTCCCAACCCAAAAAATTTGGGGGAAAGAGGGTTTCCAGGGCGCAGCCTTGTCGAAAGTCCAGGTAGCAGAGAAGTCATGGGAAAGTCCAGTACTGGAATGAGGCAGCCGGCTGATTCAGATGACGCAAAATCCAAGAATGAGCGACAAGTCCAGGGAGTATGCAAGATGATGGGCGACCAACAGTGACTGCACCAACGCCAGGGCAAAGGCAAAAGACGACCAAGAGATAGAGCCGAATCCAATTGGCAGTCGCCCTTGAGAACTGGCGAGAGTGAAGGCTGGAGATCTCCTCTGATGCGAGGGCGCTGAGCAGGGAATGTCGAGCGGCCTCTGGAAAATCTCTGTCTCGAGAAGGAGCATCAGCTGTGTTGATCCTGGTAGGTGCAAATCCAAATGAAGGATAGGTGTCACCTCCAAGATCCAATAGTCGCTTCTCCAGGCCAACAAAAGCTCTGCTTTCCAGGATATTGATATGTCCCGGCTTTGACCACCACCAATGTGCCAACGTCTGCCACCCATCTTGTAGCAGCACATCATTGAGCACAACACTTTCAAGGTTTGTTGCACTTGTTGAGTCCTCAACCTCCAGGCCTCTGAGGGCCTTTGCAAAGCACTCCGCAATGCGCTGAGCGACACCAGGGTGGTAGACAGCGCTGGCTTTGGTTAGCTTTCCTTCTATTCTGACATGGCTATGACCTCCAGGGCAGGGAACATGAAGCATCTCCATATCGAGGCCCCAACCCAACAGGCGGAAGGGCTTCTTGTGGGTTGAACCCAAGGCACAGGAGTTGAGGGCCGCCTCCTGGAAGCCAATGCCTTTCAAGAAGCTCCAAGTGGAAATCCATGCAAGCTTCGATAGGAAAGGAGTCTCAAGAAGGGAAGGAGTACCACGCCTCCAAGCAAACCAAAGGATGGCGAAGCTCCGGAAGGCAAGCAGGTTCCCTAGGTAGGTCTTTCGCTCCTTCCGGTCAAAGCCCAATGGACACTTGTAGGACCTAGATGCTGGATGTTGAGCAGGAGAGAACGTAGTACAGGGTGGCTCACAAGCTAAGCCCTTGAAGCGCTTGTTTTTGATCATTTGGAAGATCCAATCAACAAGCTTGTAGTTCCCGATGTCGTGGTGAGGGCTGTTAGAGAGATCGATGGGAGTGCATGTGGAAAAACCCATCTGAGCGAGAGCTTTTGACAGCACTCCGGAGCCACCGAAGATCTCAACAAAGTCAAACTCGAAAGGTATGGCCCTTGCTGGCCCGCCTGTGAAATCTGCGGGCGAAGGCTCCTCATCACAATCCTCCCCCAAAGATCTCAAAGTTGCCCTGGCCGGTGAGTCCAACATTGTGTAGGCTCCCTTCTTGTCGCCGCCAAACCAAAGAATCTCAGAAAGCTCAACCCCAATCTCCTTGGAGGTGACGGCTCCTTTTGCGTTGGAGGCATCGGTCGCATAGATGTGGTCATCATAGGGGACTGAAATGTCAGTGGCAGAGCAAAGCCCAAGGACGCTAGCCAAGACGAGTTCTTCAGCAACCTGGTGCCATAGTTGAAGAGGTCAGAGAGGAGACAGCACAGGCACCTCCGGTACATGAGCACACAAATCCAGTTTCCAGCAAGTCGAGATGCCAAAGTTCTCGAAAAAGGTAGCGCTGCAGTCCTCAGGGGGAGCATCATCATTGGGACCCTCTTGGAGAGCGGAGCTGCAACTGAGACAATGCCAGCGCTTCTTGTCTTTGAGTCAGCAAGGACTTCAGCTCCAATGACTTTGAAGCTCTCAGCACCTCTGATGGTCTTATCGTCAGAGCCGAAGACCCCAGCATCCTTGTAGATCTGCTCGGCCCGCTCAAGGTGTTGCACCGACTTTGCTGAGGAGCTTTTTGCGTTTTCCTTCTCTCTGCTAATGACAAAGTAATCATCGATGACCAAACCTTGCCAAAGAGGTCCACGGGGAAACACGTGGTGGCCTAGGATGGTTTCATCAGAGCTGAGGAGGCCACCATCACGAAGGAGAGCAGTATGGCTCTCGAGCGCAAACTCGACACCGAGATGATCACCTTGGAAGAGGCTCTTAAAGCCAAAGGCCACCTCATGGATCTGATTCTCTTTGAGGGTTTTTGCCGGGGCCATGCCATAGCGGTCACCATGCGTCTCCCGGGTGACTTTCCCAGCTCCTGCTTCAAGTATTTCAACCCAGGCATGCAAGCTACAGGCCTCACCTCTCTTGTAGGTGAACGGAAGGACATTGGTGTGTGCTCTCTGTCGAGTCACCTTGGCTTGGTGATAGAAGTCCTTTCTATCCGCTGCGCAGCCGACAAGCTTGTAGCCAGGAGGGCAATGTAGCGAGGTAATCAAGTTTTGTGCAGGGAGATATGCTGAAGGGCCACGAGGACGACATTCAGCGGCATTGAACCACCTCCGGTCGCCAATCTGCCTGTCAATCTCTGCATTCTTGTGGGCATTGAACACCCTGCAAGCGAGGCCTGAATAGTGCCCCTCAGGGAACATAGCCAGAAGCCCTCTGCTGTCCCAAAGCCTTGCCAGCTTCTTCAAGTTCTCTTCTCTATTCTCTCTGGCAAAGGAGGGGCCATCACTTCCGAGGGCAGCCATGGCAAAGGATGCTAGGATCTTGAAAAGGTAGCCACAGCACACTGGAGATGTAGCTCTGCGTGTCCCACTGACCTTTTCCAGAAAGCTTGAGACGTGATGCGTCCAGTGTGCCATAGGGCTGAAGTGGTGAGAACTGCTCATTGATGACAAATTGATGCTCGACTCCAATGGTTCCAGCTTTCTCCTGATCTTTGGACTCCTCAGAGCCGTTGGCGCCATAGTCCAGGATGAAAGCAGGATGCAAAGCAGAGAATTTCTCAAGTTCGACAATCTTTACAATGAATTCAAAACCTGACCTCCCAGGTGGCAAAGGGTAGTGACCATCAGGGAGATCACACGCAGTGATGAGCGCCCGTAGTCTCCTGAAAACAGAGAGCTGTGCCAGTGAAGGGCGCCTCTCAAGCAAACTCACTGATAGAGGCCTCATGCCATTGTGGATGTAGTTCAAAGCGATCACAACGACATGGGTGGCCCTCTTGATGCAAAGCTTTCTCCACCGAGAGCGTGAGAGCCTGAGGTTCCTCTGCTTGCCAAAGAGGCCTTCGAAGGGAATTGGCAGAGGGAACACTGCGGTAGCCGGGCCTGAGCCCGATCGCTGGGCATGAAAAGATCTTGCCAAAAATGCTGCAAAGGCCGTTCTGGAACGTAGTATCCACCTGATAAACATGCAAGGAAGCCCTGGAAGGTGATCTCCTCGTAGAGCTGCTCTTCATCACGAAGCTTCTCACCTTCTATTCCTCCTCCAGAGCACTCTGAGATGGCCCTGCCTTTGCCTTTGGGCCGCCCTTCCCCTTTCCTTTCTTCTTCGGTCCCGGGCCATGAGGTGGGTTGTCTGCAGCCGATTGTTTTGTAGAGGTCACTTCCGCCCTCCTTGACGTGATGACATCCATCTCCTTCAGGTACTGCAGCGCTGTCGTGACCCAACGTTGATTTGCAGTTGGGGCAAAAGGCCTGGGATTGGCTGACACTGCCACTGACCTCCCGCTGAAGAGACTGTACGGGGGATCCTCCACCAGAGCCAGCAGCAGGCCCACCTCCATCTTTCCATTGTCCATGGCCGTCTGCTCTAAGCAAACGAAAAGCAGGCTCAGGGCGTCCTTCGCAGCCATGTAGTTTTCCTCCTGAAGGTGATTGAGGCACTGGGCCACTTGCCAAATGATGAACCCGATGTCCTTCGTCCTGCCGAAGCCACCAAACCTCTCCAGATATTGAGTCGCAGTGACTCCTTCCAAGGCACTAACTGCACTGAATAGCTCACGCGTAGTCTTGAACACCCTCGGAGAGGAGATGTTTGGGCCACGAACCACTGCGTAGAAGCGGTTGCCGGCGTCAATGGTAGGTGTCCTGTTCGGACTCTGCACTCTTCCAGATCGCACTGCCCCAGCCCACTGCCCTGCCTTCCAAGCTCTCTGCAATCGTTGCTCTGGAGTCCAGCCGCCCGATGTAGTAGACAAGGAGGATGCGAGCAGGCGAAGATGCCCAGGGCAAGTAGTGAAAGAAGCTTCAATGCTGTCCCGAGTCTCCCGCCGGGGCGGAGGGGTTGCTGGCTTGATCTCCTGCCAAGAAGCCACACTCGGAGCAGAAGAGACCGCCTGTCGCTGAGGAAGCTGTTGACCAGTGCCCAAATCAGAAGGGCCAGGTACTCCACGATGCTCAGGAGAGCCGGCAAGACGTTGCACAAAGGAGGCAGCCCTCTCGGCGCTCCCACGGACAGTGATTCGAAGGCCTTGGAACTCCAAGGCAAGATCAAGCTCCTCGTCTTCGCCTCTGCAAGGGGAGGAGCGATTGCTCATCCAGGTAAGCCCGTAGCCTGTCAGGAGAAGGTGCCACACCAGGAGGTGGAGGAGCCCAAGTCCGGGCTGGATGAGGAGTATGTGGAAATCCAAGGCCCCAAAATCCAAGAGCCAGGGTGACAAGAGACCCGATGCAAAGGCCCAGGAGAAGTGCCAGGGCCAGAGCGGGGAGCCCACTGCCAAAGCAATGGGCAGGACAGCCGATGCCCCACCAGTCCGACTGCGCCCCGGAAACTAGGAACCCTAGAATCTTCGGGGCCCACTCCATGTAGCTTGAGCGACATGAAACCGGCATCAACCTTACAAAACCAAGTAGGCGCCTCCTTTATAAGGAGTTGTTCTAGCTAGTACCTACAAGTAAGCTCCTACATATGGACGCAGGATAGCTCACGCTCACACTAATGATTTGCTTCCTAGATTTTTAGGGAAACTTAACATTAGAACTTGTATGAACTTGTCATGTGCGGGTGGGTGCCAAGGTGATCATTTGTACGCATCCAAATTCACAAAATGCATTAAAGGTGTCAATGCAAAATGCAGGAACCAAGTTGTAGATCGTAGTTTTAGAAGAAAAGCTCAAATTAGAGCACCCGAAGGGAAAAAACGTCACGAGGGAACCGGGTTAAAAATGGTTGAAACATGCGCGCCGAGGCACCACCATGTTGAGAAGCTGAGCTCCTCGTCCCCAGAGTCCGGCATTGTGTCGAGTCACGGCTGAGCCAAACCCTGGGTGAGTCGCATGAGAAAAGTTGATAGCGCCAAAAACTCCAGCTAGCCACAAAACTACATAGAAAACTACATTGCAATATGATGCAATAAACCTTTTATATGATTTCTTTGGAACCTATTTTGTGCGTGCGCATATGTAACGCAGGAGGGGCATACTTTCCTGGGGAGGCGTCTGTGTTCATGACGTTTGACCATCATGGCCTATCGGCAATCACTTTTGTCCGGTCTGCAGACTGGAGCTTCACACTCCAGCAGCTAGATGTCATGCATTTGCAAACGGCATCTAGCAGCTTTAAGTTGTGCACTGGGCTGGTCACGGTGCAAAGCCTCCTTCCCGAAACATTGTTGGGGCTTAGTGTGGCATTGCTCTCACAAGATCGGAGGAGGGTTTGCTTGAAAGTCTCACGAGGCCGCCGCTGAACACGATGCCTCCAACATGCAAGAAGTCAAAATGAGTGGACACAAGCATCAGACTCATCAGACCCACCTTTGGCATGCATCCAGCATCCAGCAGGTGGCCATCTCAGTTGGGAGAAGGCACGGATGACATATCGTGACCATGACCTCAGTTCAAGAAAAGAACTGTCTGGTTCAGTGCTCGGTGCTTCGTTTTCCAGCTTCTTGACAAAGACCCATGAGCCGGCTCGTGCACTTCCGAGGGCCGCGCTGCCGGTGAGGTTTGGCGCGGAAGTGGTTCTTCCCAACACACTCCCAGCCTCAAATGGCACAACTCACCAAAACCCCGCAAGTATGTGGCACCCTTCCCACCAAAAACAAAAGGGAAGAAGCGGGCAAATCCGCAGGTTCTTTCTTGTTGCAGTCATCTGCCTTTGACTACTGGGGGCCACCTGATTCAAGTGGGTCAAACTTCGACCACCTTGATCCTATGCGGTTGAGTCACCGCAAAGCCGCGCAGTGCTGCTGCTCTTCTAGCCGAGAGACCGTGGCGCCAAATCCTCCTGTTCGAGTCTTGCTGAGCAACCTTCGGTCCACAACCAACGAGCAAGGCACAGGAGCTCTTCCTTTCGAAGCTGGGGATGGGACCGTGTCTTATCCTGTGTAGCTCCCATTCCTTGATCAACAGAATGCGGCATAGAAAAATCTCTGCAAAGCAAATGGGCGAATTTATGAAGAACATTTCGCTGATACATTCGACAAATGTGTGGCTGTTGTAGGGGGCTCTGCTGAAGCCTTTCTGTCTGTACCTATACTGTGTCCAACTTGCGTGTTCGCAGAGGTTGCCTCACATCGATCCACCCGGATCGACGCCAAATGCTCAGCTTGGTGCTATGAGGCGCAGTGTCCTTGTTCGAGGAAAAACCTCTCCTAAGCACTGGATGTCATCACAGCGTGTGATCACGTCGTTCGAGAGCAAAGAAGCTGTGACCGGCACATGGCAGCTCGCTCGCCAGCTTGGTAGCTACTTTGCAGCTCCTGCATGCCGACAAGTCAGTTTCTGGACCAACGATTCCAGCGATGAGGTGTCCTTGTTGTGGAAATGGGCCTTGCCTTGGTAGTCATTTTCCCTGCATTATTCCACCAATCAGTTTCAGCACAAATTGGAACAAACACACCAGGACAAAGCCGACAAAATTAAACAAGTCCTATTTGTCAGTTTGTCGCTTGCAATGGGACATGAAGGATGGTCAAGATACGCAAGCCAAAGTCAGCGCAGCTGCTGTTTTGCAACTGAGGAGCGGCTGTTGTCCAAGGTGTTTTTGACCAATCCTGCCATCATCCTATTGCACCTTGGTGTAGTCAAGTAGCACCAGGAACTAGCTGCTAGCAAACCCTGGTCGAGCAAAAGCTGGCAAATGTGCACCAAATGCCCTTTACGACACTTGGGCCGACACTCATCCACCTCTAAAGAAAGCGCATGCAAGAAACATGCATGACACAGGGAAATCACACTGTTTCTCTCAAAATGCGCCGGTTCTTGGGACACACTCTTACGAAGAATTCTTCCATTTGCACACTGCCAAGCAAAAATCTACTCGCGCTCCACACCAATTCGGCCTGCTCCTTTAGGTGGTCCCTTTTGGCCCTTTTCTCGTTCAGAGCCTTCATCACCTTTGCGTCACCCCAATTCCCACCAAGTGAGGCAAAGAAGCCGAGAAGTGACGCAAATTCCCGTGGCCTGCGTGTACCGAGCTTGGCATGCCTGCAGTTGTTTGTCCTTCTCCTCGAACTGTTCCTGCAGAAATCGCAGCGGCAAGAAATTCCACAGAAATCACAACTGCGATGCTTGCAGCCACTGCAGCCTGAAGAAGCCCCAGGTTTTCGAGAGCTTTCTCTTTCTGCTCAATTCGCTTCTCTGCGCCTCATGCAGCGAAAAAGGCCAAGAAATGAGGAGAAACATGGTGTCCACTGGGCACCAGTGGAAAAACATGTGGAAATCGAAATCTTCCAACACTAATGGTTTTGTACCGGCCTCTTCCAGTACGCGGGGTATCGAATCATAAGGGTAGCGACCAATCAAGAGTCATGACAAATGGAAGCCTGTTTGTCAGAGAGCTGAGGGTTTTTTCGCTTTCTTGATGTTACTCAAAGCGGACAGGCCTGTAAGACTCTCAAGGGCAGTCCCAACAGGCTAATTAACAATCCTGAAAGGGGAAAATGGACCCCTTAAGGACTGCGTTCCTCTACAAAAACCGGTGGTTCCATCCGTGTTTGTTGGAGAGAGGGTATATAACCTTTTCTGCCCAGCCCAGAAGCACATGTCTTTTTGCTCTGGCCAAGTCCTCATCTTTTCTCGTAGCATCTCCTCTAGCAACGCCAATCTTTGCGCGGAGTCCAGGCGCCGCCAAGTTTCAAAGGCGACAGGCACAGCGTTCCAACCGCGTGACCTTAACAAAGAGATCTGAGCAAAGCGCTCGTGACACAACTCATGAAGTTCACTGTTCTCTTGCAGCCCCTGCTGCGTCACATGGGTCACATCGCCAGGGAGTTTTCTGAAGTAGGCCTCCGTTGGCATCAGGCAAAAGGCAGTAGTTCCACTTTGTGCATGGATCTCAAAGGGGCCCTCCCAAACAGGACCCTTCACTTCATGGCCAGTGGCCCTGATATGTTCCTGGAGCTCCAAAGCCACAGGGCGATGTTGAGAGGTCTGTAGTGGAAGGCCAGGTTGGTCGAAGAGATCGAAAATCATTGACAGAACCTCTGCCTGGAAACGGCCCTGGGCTTCCAGTTCGCTTACCTCGGCCACCTCTTCCACAGCCACCGACCATGCATCTGAGGTGATTTTCCAGCTAGAAGTGAGAGACCTCCAAGAAGGGTTCGAAAGGCCATCCATCTCCTTATCCAGGCAAAGGTGCGGGTACAAACAGAATTGGGAATAAGCAACCGACGTTAGATGTGGAAAACTGAAGGCCTCCACGCTCGCAAGACTGAGGCAACGAAGTGCCAACTGCTCATGGACGGGCAATGTGCTTTGGTGAATCCGAACCAGTGAAGGAGGTAGTTGCCGCAGAGAGCGATAGCATGTGGCTGCTTCTGCTGCAGTGAAGCTTGGGATCAAGTCTGACAGCAAGGGGCACAAGGATTCCAAAACACTTCGCCAGAACAGGGAGACAACTCCTCCTTGATTCAGTCTTGAATCGTCCGCAGCGGCTGCCAGGCAATCCAAAACATCTACTGCCCACCATGCTTCTGTCTGTGCCTCAAACTTCTGCCCCAGTCTTTGGCGAAACTCATGTTCAAGCTGAGTGCTGATGCTTGGTGAGGAAGCCAAGCCCAGCAAGGACAGGGACTTGGAAACCTGTCCCAAGAGCTCATTGCTGAGGCAGGACAAATCTAAGTTCCGTGCGAAGATTGACAACAAATTCATCGGTCGTACTTCGAGTCTCGCGCAGGAAACGCTTAGCTCTGCCAAGCGTTCTGGAGGCAGTTCGTGGGCACAACTGGGGAGTCTCTCCTGCAGAAGTGATACCACGGTTGGGAAAACAAGAAAAAACTGAGCGTAAGAGAAAGCGACCAGTGCCAAATCCAGCGCTGACAACCGTGGACCAAGCTGCACAACCACTTTGGCCGACCCTGTCAGCAACGGCTCATGACACAAGCCCACGGCAGCAAACGAGGAGATGAAAGCAGAAAGGTCTTGCGGCGCGAAAAGGTGAAGCTGCTTCAGCGCGCCTTGCGCGAGCCGCGGCATCAAGCGGCGATCCGCTAAGCGTGCCCTTGCGAAGGCGGAAGCCACCTTCGTCAGCTGCCGAGGGTTGGCAGCTGAGACACGGCTACTGAAGGCCGCTGAGAGACGCGCAAAGACTGGGGCCACCGGAGCCGAGACCGAAGCCAGGTTCTCGGCCAACTCCGCCATGTCGTTACTGGAAATCTCCCCTAGCCGCTCCGAGAGTTGCACACCCAGACTCTGCAAGGACGCTGCATCTGGCCGAGATGTCTCTGAAACACTCTTCAAGGCGCCCAACACTCGAATGCAGTCCTTGCCATCCATTGCATCTACCTGCTCCATTGCCAACCTCACGGCTGCCTGGTAGTCAACACTATTCAAGGCCCCCGGCTGTGCAAGCAGTCGGCCCAGGGTTTTCACAGGAAGCTGTGACAAATGAGTATTGTGTTGCGACTGCCCCATGGCCACTCCAACATCTGAAGTAGCAAATCGCAGGCTCTGCCTGCTTCCAAATGACCGTAGCTTCCACGAGCTGCCTAACCAGCAAGATGCTTGACGACTGGTGTGCGACATTGCTGCACATTTCGGGCCTGGAAAGAAGTCGTCCAATGAAGTCTAACGAAGTCTATATAAACTCGATGGTTTTCGAGCATCTGCCCGCCGCTGGCACAGCTGATTCCCTCCCCGATTCTCGACACACTACTTACTAATGATATCTAACGATCATAGTGGTTTTGGAGGGTTTCTTGGGATCTATGGTTTCAGCTTACATGCAAACGATGCACATTTGCTAGATGTGAGAAGAAGTCAATTTGCTTTGAACCAAGAACAGAGTCCCCGGTGGTGCCTTTCCTGTTAGGACAAAAACCTGCGGAAAGCCCCAAGTAGGTGAAAAAGAGCACCGCGGCACTCCGTTCGAAACACAATTACAATTATTGATCTGACATCTGTGTGTCTTCGGTGCCCGCGTTATATATCTCCCCAAAAACTGATCCAGGTTTTGGTCCACAAGCTCAAGTAGCCCAGCATTGGGAGGTCCTTTGAGCACAAGCCAGCAGAACTGTCTGAGTTGCAAACCGGCGCTGAGTTCGTTAGCCTGCTTCACAATGTGTTCCACTTCCTGTGGGACATTGGACGCAACTCTCGCATGGAAATGAGAACAGCTCAGTCCCAAACATGTGCGGTCTTCTGCCCTGATTCTTTTGCCTTATCATCAGGCCTGAGTACTGCAAAAGGAGCATGAAAGCAGGTGGATGCAAGGAAAGAGTTTGGTTTTTGAGGCCATGCTTTGCATGGTCTGCTATTGTTAAAACTTTGGCGCGCACTTGGCCGTCCCACTGCTCGGCTTCATGGCCAAAAGGCTCCCGGCACTTGTGGCCCAAAAATCTCGAGCCAAGCGCGGGAGTCTTGTCTTCTTTCCACGCAGCGATGTCAAAGCTCCGCTCCAGCTGCTTTTTCTTTTCTCGCTCTCTGTCTCTCTCTCTCTCTCTATCCCTCCCTCCCTCCCTCCCTCTCTCTCTCTCTCTCTCTTTCGCTCTTTTTTTTTCTCGGTTCTTTTCCAACTGCCAAGTCTGTTTACGCCACGGCTCAGCCAAAAATGGCGTGGGCCAAGGCTCATTCGCCTTGCAGCCCATGAATCCTAGTTCAAAACCCCTCCAAGCGAGGCAACAACCGGCAGCTTCAACTCGTCGAGCTAGTTGCCCCAAAGGAGAGTCTTTGCTGCCCACTCCTTCTCGGGCATTCACATGTCATCCAGCTGGGGATCCTTCCATCGCGGGGTTTGGCACTCCGATTGCACCTGGCACAAGCCACCCACTCTCCCCTGCGCCAGAAAGAATGGCTCAAGTGAAGTCGCGAGCGGAGTTGGAGCTCTCCTTCTTGGATCTGCCCATGCCTGCATTCGAGACTTGTCAAGGTCTCTAGGGCTCCTTTGCCGCATCTCCTGGCCACCTTGCACCAACACCTCTGACAACTGAAGGTGTTTGCACGAAGGACCCACCGGTGCCCCGAGATGTCTTCTGGCAGCTCTGCACTGGCATCAACCAGCTCCTGCATCCTTTGAAGCAAGGTTTTACTTCTGTAGCCAGCACAAATGGAGCCCTCTTTCTTGGAGATCTCTGCATGGGTGGAGCATGCTTTGACATTCATCCCACATGCGCTGCACTGGAGTCCACTCCCTTTGAGCATCCAATGATGTTGCCCTTCTGTCGGTTGACGCTGAGTGAGCTTCTGCAAAATCTCCAAGCGCCCAACCGGTGCTTTGACCTTGACCTTGTAGTCGGGGTCAACTTTGGACAACTTCTCGTGCATGTAGCGATCTTTGTCCTGCAGTGACGCCCCAATTCTGGCCGCAGCAACTTCATAGACCTCTCGGTGCCACTGGTCACCATCATGCAGTGATTGGAGTAACTCATGTGGTGCTTCAAGTTCAGCTCGTTGGGCGGCACATGTCTGGGCTGCCTTGAATTGCAACCAGGCCCGTTGATCTCCTTGATCCTTCTTGAGCAGCTTCAAAGGGACGTGCAATGTGCTCAGCCTGGCCCACTCCGACTCCTCCAAATTGTACCACATGTCCGCCAGCAAGGAGAGCCCTTTTGCAATGCTTCGATGGGGTATGTTGAGCTGGTGTTTGCCCAGGATAGCTTGCAGGATCAGCCAACAACCAAACACCCAAGCCCTGACCTCCGTGCCTTTGCCTGGTGCCAAAGCTGTGCAAGTGCCAACAACATGCCACAAGCCCTCCTTCCATTGGCCAACAGTGACTGCCACTGCGTACCTCTGTACACGAGCATCATTGCGTGTTGCTTTGACTCCAATGGCAATGCGATGGCTAGGGCCAATCCGGGTGGGCCAAACATCATCCAGGATTCCTGTAACTTGCAGAGAGTCCACCCCCACCACAGGCCTGTAGTCCGGACTGTCCACCATGCCTCTTGCCCATAGCATTGTGTCCTCATTGGCCGCAATGTGTCTCTGCCATTCCTCCGGGAGCGGTTTTTCATGGCAGCAGCACTCCCAGATGAGGTGCTTCATGGTTACCGGAACATCACACAATGGGCACATTGCCCTGCCTCCAGCTGTGTGGGTACGCAGAGACCCTTGAGTCCATGCGTCAATGGCTGCTCTTGAAATGCCCTTCATGTTCTTCATGACTCTATGATACGTGGTCCAGTCCGTGTTCCTAATGAAGGGAAAACAATGCTCCAACTCCTGAATCCTTCTGGCCCTCTGCCAGGCCAACTCATCCTGCAGTTGTTTCTGGAGGTACGGCCAGGGAAACTAGATGTTGAGCTGGATCAGTGGCATGGTACCTCGAGGCTCCCTAATCCAATCATCCAGGGTTGCTGCATCCCATTGCGTCTCCATCACGTAGGCCTGCAGCGCTGCCATGGGGCCTGCCACAACCATCCAGGGGTGAGCTGCTCCCTGTAGCCTCTTCCAGGACACCCTCCAAGCTGAAGCCAGTTCACCCCTTTGCGTTTTGGGCCACGCTTGAATCAGCTGATGCATGGCCTTCATTTGCCGCTCAACCGCAGTATCTCTGGCTGGTCATACACAATGTCTGTGCTCCCACCCTTCTGCAATCCCCCACGCCTGGCCAGCTGTTGTTGTAACACTCGGAGCCTTTGCGGAGCCATACCCTGAGCTTCAATGCCGAAACTGACTGCTGCATGGACTGAAGTTTTCCAAACTCGGACCCTCACCGGCCGTGAACGAAGTTTGAAATGCAGCAGTTTGGAATGCCACGCTCTGCCCTTCAACAGCCGCTTTTGCTGTGTCCCAATGCGGCGTCTGCGGCCTCCGCTCGAGTCCAGGCCCAAATCCTTCAAGAGGTCATGTGCACGGGGCTGATCTTCTTGACGATTGAGGTTGATGATGCGCTTGCACTCATTTGTGGACGTCAGGAATCCTGTCTTTTGCACTGGCAGGTTTAGGCCCGCTGCTTGCAATCCATTCTTCAACTCCTCATAACCTGCAAGGGCCTCTTTGCACACCATCGTGGCGTCCTGTCCATCGAAGTCCACTGAGATGTCGTCGATTAGTGAAGCCATCAAGCACCGGAGCCAAGACCAATTTGGCAACCAGTGGTGCCATTGGGCAGCCGGCCAGAATGCCCTTTTTGCAGTGAACTGCAGTGCTCGTGACTTGTTCTGCTTGAAGGAGGCGTGGACCACTGTACAGTTCATACAAAAAGTTCATATGAACTGCTGGGAATTCCAAAGGTTCCCATAGCTGCAGCAGTTGTTCCAACTCAACCGAATCGTAAAAGCACTGCAAGTCAATGAGGAGGCTGACCACATGCCTGTCTACTGCTCTGCTGACCTCGCATTTGAGCAGGCGCATCAGGGCAACATGCAACACTTGTGTGCCAGGCAGGCTTCTCCCAAGGAAGGCGCTGTCCAATGTTGCTTTGCCGATGCTTCAACTTGTGCCAACGAAGTTTGCACCAAGTCCTGTAGAGCACACTGGTCAACGAAATGGGCCTTTCAATGTCCTGCCTCTTAGGCAGCAACAGTACCAGTGTGGTACAAACTTGCTCCGGCAGCCTTCCAGCTAGTTCCCAGTTCCGGAACATGTTGCAGAGGTCGGTCACTCCTTCGATGGGCAGGTTTTTGAGAAGTGCACAGCTGATGCCATCCGGGCCACAAGCCTTCTGAAGGAGCTTTTGCAGTCTCTTCATCACAGCGTGTGGGTCCAGATCTTCCCCCCGCCTGGCCTGCTGGATGGCCTCCCATCTGAGTCTCTCACGCTCCCCACTGGTGCTTGGCTTGTCAATGACCTCCCATTGTCCAAACCATTGCTTTTCCCGGTGGCTCTGCCTGTCCTGGACTGGTATGTTCCTGAATGGCCGGACATGAACTGCATCTGGGGCCTTGAGACTCCTGTAAATGCCACTGTGGCCTTTCAATGCTGCTTGAGCTAACCAGACTTGATATTCCTTGGCTTGCAGCTCCATAGCCAGCTTCTTGGCAAAATCCCTGTTGGCTTCAGCTCCCTTTATCAGCAATGTCAGGGGCCTGCTGTCTCCTGCCACTAGATCTTCAAGCGCCTCAACAAAAGCCTGCTTGCCATGCACATCTTGCCAACGTTTGTCCAGATCATCTGCTTTGGCGCGGAGATGCAACCTGGAGGCCGTAGTCAGCGGCCAGAATGGAGCAGAATTGACCCCAGTAGGCAAGGTCTCCCTTCTTCCAAGGGGATAGTGGCTTTGTTGTGAGCAATGACTTTAACTCTAAGGCCAAATACCATCCTCTGCCCTGCTTGGGTTGATGCAGATTTTGGAGTGCATATTGCTCAGCTTGATGGCACCACTCGGCACACTGTGACTCTTTGGGCCCAGTCTGTCGCCCCAGCCAGAAAATCTTTGGGTTGGGCTTGAAGTCGTCCCACGCCTTGGCAGCATCCTCGAGCTTGGGCACAGGCGCAAAATGCGTAAGCTGACTTGGCACATAGGTGATAGCGCCCAATGTGGAAAACAATGTGGTTGACATCTTCTCCAAGGCATTGCCCATTGGCTTCATTCGCCCAGTCTGCCAACAGCTGCTCACCTGCCTCGACTGCCATCCGCACAAAGAGTGGCATGGTGTCAAAATCATGCCACCTCCCTCCAAAATAGGAGAGCCAACTCCCTTGCAGACCTGTTTGACCCCACAGTTCCCACAGCAGAACCAAGAACTCAGAAGCGTCATGCTGGGCCTGGGGATTTTCCAGCTTGGCAATGACTGGCTGCAGCTCCGAGGCCCAAAAGATGTCAGGTCATCTTGCTGCAAAATCTGGAGGCAGAGATTTGTCGAAGGCCCCCAAAATTCTGCAGGCTTGTCATGGTGCGCTCCCATCCAACACCAAAGCCTGAGGACCGAATTGGCAAAACATCGATTGCCCTTGTTGCGGATGGTCAAGGTCAAATTGGCTGCTAACAGTTCATTGGTTTGTGGCATATCAATCAGCTGGTTGACCGGTCTAGTAAGTTGAATGCCCCCTTGAAGCGCCAGTCTCATTCGTAGGATGTGTTTGAGGGCTTCCAAACCCCACACTCTGGTTTCAACCATCCCATATTCCTGATCCTTGCTTCCAATGCTCTGGTTTGAAGCACAAGAAGTCGGTCCTGCAGACCCAAGAATTTTGGCATGCCGTTGGTCTGCATGCCTGACTCATCGGTCACTCGAAGGGTACCTGGGGTCCCGCAAGAAGCAGGTCTAGGTCGCCCTAGCCGCTCTGAGCTCTTCAAGCGCGGTGCCCCTTTCCCTTCTTGACCTTCTCCCATATTCTGATTTGTCCCTGCGCCAGGGTGCCATTGGCATCCTCCCAGACCCGTCCTAATCTCCTCCGTCTTTGCCAAGGAGAGTTCGAGCTGGTGAGTGTCCTTCTTCTCATGTTCATGCTCCTCTGAATTTCCTCTCCCAGAGAGCAGGTCATGTTCCCAGGGGCCCCACCTCCATGGCTCATGTCGGCCCTGGATGGTTGCAAAACTGAAAATTTATAATGAACCCCCAAGTCAATGCCAAAGGTTCCATTGTCACGCTCCCCAATGAAAGGTGGCTCATGGTAATCACCAACGTTCACATACGGCTGCATCCCTTAATGGGCATGATGCATAGGATCAGCATGGCCACTGCTATCAGCAACTGTCAAGAAATGCACACACTCATCAACACCTTGCGTATGTCCCCAGGCAAGGTGAGGTGACGCGTCAACCCGCCAAACATTCAAACATTCCCAAGCGTTTGGTTGCCCCCAAGAGTTCTGTCTGTTGAACTCGACCACAAAAGGCTTCCTCCAGGACCCCTTCACTGCAGGAAAACTTGCCCCTCTGCCAAATCCGTTTCCATCACCAAGGGTCCAGCAGTTGTTACCCGCTCAACTGATTTTCATCAGTCTTGCGGCGCTTGGCCATGGTTTCAGCCAAGTTCCTCTCCAACTCTTTCTGTTGCTCAGAGTTGAAAATGATGCCGGCTTGCCCCAATGCCTTCAAGACATGCTCAGTGGCATCACTGTCCAAAACATGTTCCCCTGCAGAGGGCAAGGTGACCGCTTCAGCCTTCAGCTGCCTTGCATAGGCCTCCGACTGATCACCCAGCTGTTTGTGTTCTTTGTCTATTGCTTCTTGAACAGCCTTCAGCTCGTCAAGCAGGAGCTTGTAGTGGTCTTTTGCCTGATCCACCTTCCTCTGCAGTGATCGCTTCTTGGTGGCCAGTTGCCTCAGCTCCCCGACTGTGGCTTTGAGCTGGCCCGTGACATCAACGACAGCCGTCTGTGCGGGCTTGATCAATCCAACCACTGCCTCTTTTACCTCAGTCGGTAGGGAGTCCAGGTGAGCTTTCAAGACCTCTTCCAAAGGTAGACATTCCGGCTCAGGTGTGTAGTCAATACCAACACCCTTCAATGCTTCCTGAGCCTCCTTTCGCATTGTCCCCCAAGCTTTCTTCAACGTGGTCTCAAGCGCACTGATTGCTTGCTTGGGTTTGCTTCCAAGTCCTGGTGGTCTATCAACCAAAACGGTCTTGTCCCTGCGTGGTCTGTCTCGCCTCCTGGATGATCTGCTCCATGTCTTGCCCCAGCCGTTCTGTGGCCACGGAGTGTGGCATTTGTCACATTGCCATCTGGAGTCCGAGACCCGATCACTCCATATCCACGAAGCAGGTAGGATCTTCTGGGCTGTTTGCCAGCTACTTGCCAGCCCTCCCATCCGTGCTTGTCCATGATGAAGATCTGCGTGAAGAGCTCAGGTGTCTCGGATCACGGGCAAGGGCAAAGCCACCGTGCACAAAGGTTGCAACGCAGTGACCTTCAGTCAGATAGGCCAGTGCCCTGGATGACCTCACCGATTGAGCCACCTGGATCCAGGATCCATGAGCCCAAACTTGAGCCTCTCTTTCGCTCTCTCTCTCTCTCTCTCTCTCTCCCCCTCGCTCACTTGCTCACTCACTCGATGTCTGCGGGCTTACCTCTCACACGACCTCATTGAGGCGCCCCAGCCATTGCATGGGTTGGACATGGGCCAAGAATGGCTGCACTACACTGTGCCCTTTCTCTATTTAATGGTCTCTTGGTACTTCTAGGTTCTAGATTCTTCAAACAAGAGTCATTGTGACTGGGGCTCTGCCCACAATCTTCAGACGCGGCAGTGTCCATTTCTGGCTTTGTTTGTGGCATTTGCTCCATCTTTGCATTCGCCGGGCTGCTGTTCTTGAAAACTCGAAGCCGTGAGTGTCCATCCACTTGGTCAATTACCAGGCTCTGCGGCAAAGCTCACCTCGCAATTCGGCACCACCCTGCACCAATGCAATCTCGTGGAATCTGCTGGTGCTGCACGCCACATCATTATGATGCCTGGTTGAGCAGTGAAGCCAATCAGTCCTAACTTTCCAAGGCGGTGCTGTATGTGAAAAAGCTCCATCTGCTTAGATATAATTCTTTTTGTTTGGCATCACTTGTGCTGCCCTGCTTGCTCCACAAAAAGTCTTCGGCCGCCCAAGTAAGGAGCGTCAACTCCAGTCATCTTGCAGGCCTTCTTCATTGCCTTGTCACTTTCAAAGGTCAGCCATGCGAAGCCCATACAGCGTCCGTGGCCGCCCTTTTTGTTGGTTGGCATGTTCAGCCGTGTAACCTCACCACATCTGGTAAAAAGGGACAGCAACTCCTGCTCTGCAGTTTCATAGGGGAGATTCTTGGCAAAGACTCCGAACTTGCCACCTTTGCCCCCTGTGTGTCCTCAGCATGGACGGCATTGTCAAATGGCAACTGGCCTGGTTGGATGAATGGCACTGTGTGTGTGCGCCACTACCTGTTTCCAAGGAATTTGATGGTTGAGTGTTTGCAAAAGGTCTCGTGGAATAAGCTTATACGTAACACAGCCATAGCAACTCTATTTCATATTTTTTGGCGACTTTCAACTTCTTTTGATAACTTTCTACTTCTTTCAACAACTCATTCTTAAAGTTGCAAGTTTCTTTTACAACTTCTTCTAGAAGTTACAATGCTCAAACAAGGAAAGAAGTTACAAAAAATGTTAGTGTTCGGTCAGTGTTCGGGCGACAAACGGTTGTTATTTATAAATACAAAGAGAAACTCGTAGCTTTATATTAGTGTGCGGCCAGTGTTCGGACATGCATGTTGACAAGTTCTTTGGAACATTGTAAACTTTTTGCAAAATTGTTTAGAGTTCTTTTTTAGTGTTCGGAAAGTTCTTCCTTTAATCTAAGAGAATTAAAATGCGTATCAAACAATATTGTTGCTGCGGAAAGAACATTGTCACATTGTCTATGCGGAAAGAACTTTGTTGATGCAGTTTGCGCGCATGCCTTTGAAGACCTTCTTGAAAACGCCCAATTTGATGGTATTCGAATCCTCACTTGCACGAATACAGCCGCAGATCGTTTGGGACCGCTACCAACGAAAACGCCCATTGCCATATGATCTGGTGAAGCGTTGCACAGGGCCATTGACAGGTTTCAGGTCTCAGCGCTCTAGATCGGTATTGTAATCACTCGAGTGGAAGATCATAACTGATGTAAACCATATTGTTTCTGACCCTGCCACCTTTCCGATCTGCACAGGGCTATTGACAGGTTTCAGGTTTCAGCGCTCTAGATCGGTATTGTAGTCACTAGAGTGGGAGATACTTGATATTGCTCTTGCGAGCCCTTATCTAAGCGCGTCCCGCCACAGAGTCCCACTGTGGGCTCCGTTGTGATCCCCAGGGAGGGGCGCCGCATATGCACATGCCCTTACGGGCGCACTTTCCCAGATTCTTCGGATTGCGCGTGAACTTTCTTGACTTAGCGTCTTTGCTCGAGATTGCCGATCATATGCCGCAGGGCCTACTGAATTTACCGCAGAATGTCATGCAACATGCGTCTACGTATTCATAGGACTCAGGCTGGACTGCTAAGTCTTCACTTTTCAGTTCTTTCTTTCCTGCTGCTGCTCTTCGCTTTCTATGTTTTTTTGTTTTCTAGAGGCTTTTAAATGTAACTGAGGCCGTTTCGTGAAGTGTGCGCCGTTTACGGTTTCTTGTCAACGCCTTTGGGCTTGAACCCCTTCCCCCCCCACCCCACACCCCGCGCACCCTTTCGTTCCTGGCCTTTTTTCGTTTGCTTGGGCTTTCCTTCAGGCTTGTTGGGTCGACGTTTCGGCCCGTTTAATCAACGCACGCCCTGCCCGCACCCCTGCACCCTTCTTTTCTTTCCTTGCCTGTTCGTTTGTGTTTTTCTTTCTTTCAGGCTTGTTGGGTTGACTTCTAGGCTTGTTTAATCAACGCACACCCACCCCTTCCCACACCCCCTCCCGCAGGAAAAAAGAGCGTGCGCCGATCCGGCTGTTTGTGTGTGCCACCACCTGTTTCCAACCAATTGGATGGTATCACAGCATGTTAAATCAAATCCTCACTTGCACGAATACAGCCGCAGATCGTTTGGGACCGCTACCAACGAAGACGCCCATTGCCATATGATCTGGTGAAGCACTGGGAGACGTCCTGGTGCGCACCTGCAACTTCATGATGAGATGGTGTAGCAATATTGCTTCTGACCCAGCCACCTTTCCGTTCTGCACAGGGCCATTGACAGGTTTCAGGTTTCAGCGCTCTACATCGGTCTGGTAATCACTAGAGTGGGAGATCATAACTGATATTGCTCTTGCGAGCCCTTATCTAAGTGTGTGCATGCGAGCGCGTAAAAACAATCAAGCAAGCAACCTCTCGCTGTTCCAGCGGGCCGGTGTTGCCCAGATTTCTCCACCAATAGTGTCTTGCCTGGAATTGCATTCAGAACGAGAAAAGATTATGTTCCAAAGAAAAAAGGCTCACAATATCATGCAATAATAGAACCTACTATATATATATTGTATGCACGTATCTTGATTGAAGGAGCAAGAACCTGTTGATTGCAAAGAAGGACACCTTGGCAACAAACAGTGATGCCCAGGAAACTGCTAGAGTCTAGTCTAGCTTCTCGCTTCAAGGGAGTTATATAAATGTGAGGAGGAACAAAGGACAAAAGCAACTGGATTAAAGAAATTGCGAATGCTGATGAAGAGGAGTGAAACGATTGCGTATTGAATAATTGAATCGAGCATATATTGCGAAGCAAAAAGGACACTTTTGCCTTCAAACTTGGGCCTATACATGTCGGTGCACTTCTTGATTTGTGCGTGTCATCCCTGAGCGGTTGACATGTCCGGAGGATTTGTCACCCCCTCTCCGCTCAGGCATCTGCTACAAAGTCTAGAGCCTCGGCCACAGCAAAATGCGGGCACAGCTCAGTAAAGTGAATCGGCTTTCCATGGCGGCAAATCCTGTACTTTAGGCTTCTCCTCATTAGGCTTTCGCCATGCTTCAATGCCAGCTGGCATTCCTCGAGGGCCATGTCTCTCTGCTGCCTTGTCTGCTGGATTGTCTGTTCCAGCTCCTCAATGTACAGGTCAAGTTGAAAGACCTTGTTCTGCAGCTCTGCGTTCTCAGCTTGCAGGTCGATCCACCTGTCAGACTGAGTTGCTTTCACATACATCATGATCTTTGCGCTCATCTTCTTGAAGGTGTTCTCGATGTAGGTCCATGCCATGTAGATCACCTTCATGAGCAAATAGTGCCGTAACCACTCGATCAGACTCAAGGCCCCAATGGCTGCACAGATCAGCCAAATCCACTTCAAGTTGTCCCCCTCTTCGTCGCTGGTCTTCTCTGTCTCCATGCCAGCCACACTCTCCAAGTTCGAGAGCAGCCAAATCAGACCAACGTGGAGATTCTTGTTCTTCAGTACCTTTTGCGTCCCTTTCCTCATCCTCTCACGGTGCTCAAGCTCTCTATACTCCTCTTGTCCAACTCGATTTCCAGCACCATCGATCATCTTGATCATGTAGAGCAGGCCAAATATAGTCGGCTCCTTGTCAGACCTTTGGCGCCGATGTCAGCGGAGTTCAGCTCTGTTGGTATTGGGCTCACTGCAAGGATCTTGTCTTTCTCCTTTTGCTGGATCCATAGTAGAGCAGCATCCATGCGTCGGACCCTACCAATCCCTTGCCTCTGGATCATGGAGCGTGCCGCTGAGCTGTCTGATCTGACCTTCATTTCGCATGGCTCAACAACCATCTTCATCCAAAGATGCCGAACGAGTAGTCCATCTGAGCATCCTCCAACCATGGATACGAACTCAGCTTCTCCTGAAGATAGTGATATTGACTTCTGGAATCGCACTCTCGACTCCATCAAATTTCCATCCAGCAGGATCTGAAATGAGGATGTGCTTTTGCGGTCGTGCCTGTTGCCAGCGTAGCCACTGTCGCATACTACCGCGAGCAGATGTTTTCCTTTGTCCTCTGTCTCCTCAGCCTCTCTGACATCCATTATTGTCTGTCCCTTGGCTCTTGATGATAGCCTCACTCCAAAGCCCTGCGCTTTCCCCTGAAGGTAGGAACACACATGCCAAGCGTTCTTCCATGACTGTTTGGCCGGCTTGGACATGAACTTCGCCAGGCTTTGGATGGCAAACTGGGCGTCCGGCCTTTCACCTGCAAGGTACATTAGCCGTCCAACCACGCTTCTATAGCGGGTGATGTCCTCACCTTGCAGCTCCTCACTTTCATCCTTCTTGTTGAACTCTTGACTCGTGGGCGTCTTTCTGTAGGCCTTCTTGTAGACGTCCATGTCCTTTGCCAGGCTCTCATACTGCTTGTAGTCACACCTGATGTCGCACCATTCATCGTATAGTACGAGCTCCCTCTTCAGGTAATGAAAGGTTTCTCCACTTCGAAATGGGCCTTTCTCTTCAATGCTCCAATTCATCTTTTCCTTGAGGTAGTTCACAAATGCTCTCAACTCCTTTTCCTTTCCAACCATGAAGACATCGTCGACGTGGACTGTGGCATAGATCTCCTTTGTCTTCATGAATAGAGTGGGTTGCATGACGTCCTGGTCAAGCCCAAACTCCTTGGCTGTCTTTGCAAACAGTTGGAACCGCTGAGATGCTGCCGTCCTCTGGCCTGGGAGGCATTTCACAAGCCTGTAGATCGCACCATCCACATCCACATAGGCTTTCTCCTCTTTAGGTTGGTCAGCCATGAGGAAGGCATCCTTTATGTCGAGCGTCATGGCTGTGAACTCCCGGCAGATGTTTTGCAGCAAATGGATCAACATCTTCGGTACCACCAGCATGGATGTTGGAGCGAATGTTTGCTCGATGTTGATGCTGCTTTTGAATTGCCTGGCTACCAGTCTTGCTCTTCGGAACCATCCTCCTTGTTCGAGTCTGTGCTTCCAAGTGAGGACGAACTTTGTGGAAATGATGTAGCCTCCTTCCTTCTCAACCTCACCTGGCTCGCACTCAACCATGGCTGGGATCTTGATCATTCTGCTCACCTCATTCAATCTCGCCTCATGGTCTAGTCGTTCCAGATGGGCCTCTGTCGTGATTGGGGGCTCATCATCTTCATTTCCTCCATACCCAGCGAAGAGCTCCTCAGACAAGTCTTCAGGGATCAGCTCATCATTCATTTCCTCATCTCCATGCGCCTCAATGGCTCGGATCCCTGCATACTGGGGTGGATACAGCCGAGGAATCTTACTGGGCGACGAGCTTGCAAGTCGATCCTCACGCTCCTCTCTCTGTCTCGTCGGATTGGTTGCAGGCGTTCAATCTCTGTCTCCTCCTTCCTTGACCTCTTTTCTCCGTCTTGTGACTCCTCGTGCAGTGTCTCTCTTTTCTCACGCACTCGCCGAGGCGAATCCTCATTCTCCTGCTTCTCAGCTTCCAGATCTTCTAGGGGTTCTTCTGCGCTTCTTTTCCTTGGAGTCTCTCGGCCAATAGCAGGAGTTGTAGGGGCTGCCACTGTGAGGAAGCCTGGTGTGGTCGGTTGTGGCTTCAATCCAGGTGCAGGGGTCACCACTCCAGCAGCCACCGCCTCCGTGATCATCCTCATCTCTTCCTCTGTAGCCTCGTTCTCCAATGTAGGCTGCCTGTACCTTTGTGCTGAACCCCCATGCTTCATCATGATTCCCTGTGGGGAGTATGCCCATGGCAGACCCTTGGCAATGATCATGTCCGTACCCTTGAAGGATTCTTCTACTGCCATTCTCCTGATTGTTCTTGCTTCGAAGGCTCCCTCAGGTGTGAGTATGATGTGGTTGTCATTCCAACTGTGCTTTCCGACCCAGATGCCTCTCTCAAAGGTATCGCTGGCTTTGTACTTTGTCAGCCTCTTGAACATCACCGTCTCCCCATACAATGCCAGCTTACCTCGGTACGCATGTCCTGTGGCTAGCTCGTAGCTGGTCTTTCCAATCTTCTCCAGGACTCGAAACCTGTTGAGCAGGAATGATGCGTACCTGAATGACCAAGGGTACATATACAAATTGCCCATGATCTTGATGAATGCTTTTCCTTCGGCATAGGATCTCAGACCGTTGGCCAGCTTCCTGCACGTTCGACCTGTCCATTCGAAGCATGTTGTCCGCTGCCCGTCAATCGAATCTCGCATTGCAGACCCATCACTGCCCTGACCTGTTGCACAGACCTCAATATTTGTCTCATCGACCGCTCTGAGTCACCCTGGAAGATAATACATGGGTCTCTACCACTGTTCTCGAGAGAGAATCGGATCACCTCCTCTGTGATCGTTTTGAGACTTGCCGTACCCTTGGAGGGTATAGGTACTGTACTTCATCAAGTTCCACTTCATTCGGCAACTACCATCTTCTCGATGTCCTTGGCATCTATCTGCATCTCCAACTCCTCATCTTCCTCTCGGTCAGCCTCTGACCAGTCCAACCTGCCTTCAGGTTCTCTTGCCTTCTCCTCCAGGAAGGGTTTCTTTGGCACCTCTGACTCGGGCTCCCAGTAGTCCTCCATCTTTGACGGGGCGAAGAAACTGATGGTCCGTACTGGGCCTCCCAATCCAATCTTTCTGAATGCACCATCTCCTAATGACATAAAGTCTTCCTCATTCTCCAATTGCGTCCACATCCCATCGTTGTCCTTCACCAGAGTCAATCTGGCCTTCCACTTGTCCTCGATTTGGCCTCGTGGATCTGCAAGTGATGTTGCGAATGGGTCACTATAGGTAACTATGCCATTGGGAAGCCGGTGCCAGCCAAGCCAGGAGCCATCTCCAGGTCTTGGATGTGTTTGCTAGGTGTGCCTCTCAATGCAAACACTCGTGAATCTCCTTTCACTGGTCTCTGAATCTCCTCAGCGTCAATCACATAGATGTGGGCTGTGAATTGCAGAGAATTCCTTTCGTTGCTGATTGGGACTGATACCTGCTTCTCTTCATGCCGTAGGTCTAAGCCATCTCCCGTGCTGTGGACCAGCTCAATCTGCTTTCCACTGCTGTCCATGGTCCGCACCTTGGCCTTTATGATGCCGTTGTGCTCAATCTTTCTGCCTTGTGCATCTATCATCCTCAACTGCTTTGAGCCTTCAGACCATTGTCCCACTCCTGCATAGGTCTTTGGAAGTACTGATGTGTCCGCACCACTGTCCAATGTGAACAGACAGGATGCGCCATCATTCTCATCAGTCCTCACCATTTGCACCGTCTTCTCCTCATTGCCATCTTGCAGGTCCATGGCTACAACAGCAATGCCGTCAGGGACCAGCACCACTGGTTCTATGCAGTCCATGAACTCTTCTTCTCCTTTCAACTCCTCAGGCCCCTTCTCAAGCTCATTCTCCATGAGTTCGAACCTGATCATGCCAACCCTCCATGGTGGCACTGAGGCTTCACTTGATCCTCTGGGCGTTGTCAAATCAAAGATCTCCAATGACCTTGGTTCAGGTGGCGTCTCTAGTCGCACCATTTTCACACTGGATGTGGCGACTGTCTGTCCTCCTTGTCCTGATGACGAGCTTGCTCCACCGGGGTTTGCTCCAGCAGGCGATTGCTCCTCCACTTGATTCACCTGAGCACGTCTCGGCGCCCAGCACTCCTTTGCAAAGTGGCTTTCCACAATTGTGGCAGGCTCCGGCCTTTCCTTTTGCACTCTTCTCTGAAGTTTTGCCTTTCTTCCCAAAGCCTCCTTTCTCCCATTGAGACTTTCCTTTGTCGCCACTCTTCCATGAACCTTTGCCATCTGTCTTCGCCTTTCCCTTCTTTCCTTTTGACTTGCCTTTCTGATCTTTGCTCTTTCCTTTTCCTCCTTTCTTCCCTTTGTCCCCACGGATGTAGTCGACCTCCATGGGAGTTGCTTCATCCATGCCAACTCTTGTTGGCAGGCTCAAGCTATTGGAACTGTCCCAACGAGTGGACAGTGCTTCCAATTCCATCACTTTGTTCTTCACCTGCTCATACGTGGTCTCGTCATTGATCCACAACTGCAAGTGAGCTCTCAGATGTGGTGGGACTGCCTGTAGGATTGATGCTACCTTTGCATCATCTGCGTAGGTGTGGCCCGAGATCCTCCCATACTCGGCGATGATGGTTTCATACTGTGGCAGTTGCTCTGAGATTGTCTTCCCTTCTGCAAATTGAACCCTTGATAACTGGGTCAGCAGCGCCAAGGAACGAGCCCGGGTTGCAGGTTGCATCTCCGTCAATAGCCTCTGCCAGGCTTCGAATCCGTTTTCAGCTCTGATGCGCCGCACCAGCTTCAAAGGCCTGTTCCTCAAGTACGATGTGAGCACTGCATACAATCTCACTGCCATAGCCTTGGTCTCGTCCGTCACGTCGTCGAAGGTGAAGTCTCCACCCAAATTGTCCTCCACCATCTTCATACTACTTGCCATGCTTGGCTCAATGCTCTTCACGTAGTTGATGAAGCCAAACTTCCAATCATTCCACTGCTTCAATTCCTGGTCTCGGGTGTCAGGCTTGAAAATATCTGGTGTCTTGACACGCCTTGACCAGGTTGCTGCACTCTGATTCACTGTAAGCCTCTCCACCTTGGGCACAGGCTCGACGCCCTCGTCGAAGTGAAGTCCTGCGCATCCAATCAGGCTCTCAAGGTCCCAGTTGGCTAGCAGCTCACAAGCCTCTTCCTTTGTTGTTTCGTTTCGAAACCTTTCTGCCCTCTTGATGAACTTCCAAGTGGCTGGGACGATAACCACCAGCCTCTTCCTTGTCTTCTTCTTGTTTCGACCTTCTCCTCGTTGTTGTAGTGTCAACGAGGCCTTCACACTCTTCTCGCTCCGGGCCCAAATCAGCCTACCCACGTAGTTGTCACTGTCCACCACCACGGTGCGATACCTTCGTAAGCTCCTCTTTCCAACCAAAGGGGTCACGTTCTCCGGGAGATAGTAATTTACCTCCTGCGTCCAATGGTCACCAGCGCCTCCCGCGATGCAGGCCAAGAGCAATAGCTCGGTGAGCCAAAAGCCGGCCGAATTCGCTCCCTTGGAGCGCCTATGGCGGCAAAGGGTCGTGGTGGCACGTGGGTAGCAGAGCCCGGTTCTTACGACCAGGGCTCCGCTACCATGCGAAGCAAAAAGGACACTTTTGCCTTCAAACTTGGGCCTATACATGTCGGCGCACTTCTTGATTTGCGCGTGTCATCCCTGAGCGGTTGACATGTCTGGAGGATTTGTCATATATGCTTCCACAAATGCATGTGAATCAATGCTAATGAGGCTTTGGCACACCAGGAACCCCAGTGAACCATTGTACTCGATGGCCTTATCCCGACCCGTTGCTGACTTGAAGGTGATCCATGCAAAACCTTTGCACCTCCATGGGCATGTTGATCCTCAGCCACAGTGAACTCTTGCGGAGTTGCGCTATGCGAATTCTTGGCGCACAAACAACTGGCTTGGGATTGCCTGTGTTCTCTTAACATTGGGTGTCTTTCTTCTGGCACTTCAACATGGAAACATTGCCCGTCCACGTCTTTGAGTGGGTTCAGGTGGCCCTTAAAAAATACAATAGGAGCACTCTCTGACCAGCTTGCAATCAAAAGGCCGTTCAATCTTTCCACATTCCAGAAAGTCTTTCCTTGGCTACCAGCGGAAGGAGGCCTGCTTTCCCGGTCAACCAAGAACAAGCACACTCCATCAGCCAAAACAAACAGCTTCAAAGCAAGCTGAGCGTCCACAGAATGTCCTCCGTCAAGGATGGTGCCAAGCCTCGCACGAAGACTTCGCGCTTAGCATCCTTGCCTCCGAAGGAAATTCGCTGTCGGTCTTTGCTCACAACCCGACGCACTTGCGCCCACTGAATCACTGAAACCCTTGAGACCCCGGAATTAGACTCTATTAGCTGATCATGTCAATGCGCACCGCACAACGCCCCACCTTGGCCAGATTTCTCCTGGAACCAACCGGTGCCAGCCCACACCAACCTTGTGGCTCTAGCAGAGGACAAAGTCTGCTCCCATCTTGTAGCCCCCACCACTTCTACCAAGGCGTCAGTCCTTGCTCTCCTTCTCGCTCGCAGCAGAGATCTTCAAGGTTCGGCCCCCATACTCTGATCCTCACCGCGCTGCATCACTGCATGCTGTGCGTGAGGGGAGAATAACAAACGATCTGAGGACCAAAACGATGTCAATCAACGCACCAGTACAGCCAAAGCTGCCATCCCACTGGAGTGCTGCTTCCATGCCCTTCTTGCTCTTCATAGTGATGAAGCCTGCAAGAGTTGGGATGCACAAAATCCGAGTGAAGAAGTCTCAAATACTCGCAAGCCTGACCTCTCCCACTCACCTGTGTCCCCCACCCCTCATGCCCGACACAAACACCACCCGATTCTGCACCTGCCTATTCCACGCGACCTTCCGGTGCCTTTCTCCTTGCAAATCTCCACCTCCAAAACCTTGCCACACTCCTCACAGTCCTTCTGCAGGGTTGCCTGGGCCAAATCCAAATCCGGAACTCAATAGTCCTATTCCTGCCATTCCCATTTCTGCACTTAGTTTGGGTCAGCTGCTTCATCCACTGACCATGGCAAACCCCCAATGAACAGGCGATGGCCATGTGTGCTTGCAGTGGTCTCCACATTGGTTGCGATATTGTCCCCCTCGGTCTTCTTCTGCCGTTTCGCTTTCTTCTCAAAAAGAATGTCACCTTCATTTGGTGTGAGGCAGTCAGACTGAGCAAACATCTGGACGCGCTTTGCTTTCTTTGGCATCTTGCTTTCATCTTCGGAATGGCCTCGGTTCAAGCTCCATGCTGGCCAAACTTGAGGCCAAGGGGGAGCGAAAGCTAGCGCTCCAGAATGGGAA